ACGGTCTCGGAGATATCCAGGTCCGATGCCATGGAGCGCTTTAAAGATGATAACCAACACCTTGAAGCGCACCCGGAAGGCCACCGGCAACCAGTGCAGCTCGCGCAGCAGCGGTGTTACATGGGAGCGACGAGTCCCTCCCAACACCGCCCGCGCGGCCGCATTTTGGACCAGTTGAAGCCTCCGGGTGCTCCTCAAGGGGAGCCCCATGTAGAGAGCATTACAATAGTCTGAAAGTCGATCTGGAGGACGCCAAATACACAGGAAAGATATATAACCCATTATTTGGAATGGGTATGGAGGAAATATACTGGCTTCAGAAGAGCTGGACCCACACACAGTCGAAGCATCCATTGCTCCAGACCCTTCATCATCCTTGTTGTTCTTCTCTGCCCAATTTCCAGGGTCTCAGCATCATCTTTGTATCGTAGTGACCAAAACTGTACGCAGTATTCCACGTGGCTTCATTAGTACGGTATAAAGTGGTATTACAGGTAGTCTTCAACTTACAATATTTCGTTTAATAACTGAAGTTACAACAGTACTGAAAAAAGTGCCTTATGATCGTTTTTCACACTTAGGACCGTTGCAGCATCCCTGGGGTCACATGATCAAAATTCACACGCTTGGCAACAGATTCGTATTTATGATGGTTGCAGCGTCCCAGGATTGTGTGATTATTACCTTTTGGTAACCTTCTGACAAGCGAAGTCAGTGGGGAAGCCATTGACTCACTTGAATGTGTTACAAACAACTGCAGTGATTCACTTAACAACTTTGGCAAGAAATATGGTAAAATGGAGCAAAATTCACTTAACAACTGTCTCACTTTACAACAAAAATTGGGGGCTCAGTTGGGATCATAAATTGATGACTTCCTGCGTCAATTCTTGTGATCTTGATGCTATCCGTCCGTTTTGACGTCCTTGTTGCTTATAGGAGAATCAGGCCAGATTTTACTCAGGCCAGCTTTTCATCTAAAAGAAAATATTTCAACTCCACAGAACACGACTAATTAAAATGAAACAGCCATTAAAAAACAAGTTTAATAACAGATTAAGAATCATCGGACATTTCCACTTCATTCGGTTTTTGAATAAAAAATAAAAGGGGGGGTAGAAATATTGGTAGGAATTATGTTTGGTATAGTTTTTTCTTGTATTTAGGCTATTTACACCATTTCTTTTTTAAAAAAAGATATAATCTTTATATATATATACAAACACAGTAAGAAGTAAAATTGAGCTGATTAACTTCAAACAATTTTGAAAAGCTTTCTTTTAACATGAAATAAAACAGTTAAGTCTGCATTGGTCCTTTTCTATAGCTTTGTGCTTTAAAGAACAGGACACAGTCATATTTCCCAGATCGTTAAATAGCCCTTTCTATTCAAATATCCTAAAACAAACAACAACAAAAAAGACCTCTTCCCACTTTTGTCCTATGTCTGAGGAACAACTTCTTCAAGAACATATGTTATTTTCCCTGGTCTACATTTTGGACCAATAGAGGTGCAGAACAACATTAAGTTTTACACTAAGAACAGAACAACACTAAGTAAAGAACCCATTACTTGTCCATCAGTTGTAAAAGCAACAGTTGTAAAAAATAACAGATCACACAGTGAAATAGAACAGTTTTGTCCATTGGCTTGCAGAAAAGATTTTTCCTCCATCCATCTAGCTCTACTTAGTAGTGTTTATTTCCTAAATAATCTCACGGCCATCCTTTCTTTCACTCAAAGGCTTACACAGAGGCACTTATTCTACTCAAAGAAGGCTCACATTCTGTTGACGCAGTCAGCAACACCAAAGCAAACCAGCATTTGACACCACAGGATAGAAGCCTGGACTACAATCATCTTGGCTAATAGCTAGAAAGAAGAAGAGGAATGCGAATACAAGACTTTCACAGGACCCCCAGTTTGAAGAAAAAGCCTTACCTTTAACCACCAACCTATAAAGAATCTCAGGGGTCCTAAGAAGAAAGAAATGTTGTAGAGTACCACAGATTAAACAAGGCTGTACATTAAGGCACATTGTGGTAATGCCAATCTGCCCCAAAACGGGGCAGAAAAAGGAAACCATCCACCCATACAAACACACACACACACACACACACACACACACACACAATTATTTTCTCTAGATCTCTCTACATCTATCTCATTCTAATGAGGTAAAAAGGTGCAGAGGGACTGGATTAAAAGTGCAGCGTCTCAGACATATCTGCTCCGTTATCAACATTTTTCCAAGATGGGCTTTCTAGTGGGCATTGACGACTAGGCATTGCAATTCCCAGCCAGCTTATTTTGGTGTCCAAGAAATCTGAGGGCCACTAAGTGGGGAAAGGGGTCCTAAAACTTTCTGGGCAAGACAGGGTTTGGGGAAGGTGACTTGGAGCAAGAATGCCCAGGGTCTGCAAATTTCAGAAAGTCTTCCAAGAAGTTCAGGAGACCAAGTCTCAAGAACATCTGAAACTTGCAGCCTTTTACAAGAACCAAGAGGTGCTTCTAAGAGATTAGGTCTTGTTGCAAGAATGGCTCAGGAGATGAAGTGGCACTTAGATACAAGACACGGGCTTTTCAAAACTCACGCAAACAAGACGGGTGAGACCCAACACGCTTATTGAAGTTCTCCCCTCATTCCTGTTCCATCCACCATATTCCACCATATTCGTAATTTTCACTGTTGGAAAAGTCCAGAATCCACTGTTTTGTTTTGTTTTGATGAAAGGAAGAGGCTAGTGGATTGCAAGTCCCAAATATTTCAACTGGATTTTTACACACAGACGCAGAAGAACGAAAGGCAACTCCCCGATTGTCGCTTTTTATCCTCAAAGGCATTTGGGAGATTTGCAGAACAACCTAATCGCCCACAGAACCATTGTAGAGCTTGTTTCTCCCTACAAAGGAAGCTAAAGTCAGAACTTTTATCCCAGTGACTCAAATGGACAGAAATATGGTTTCAAAAAATATCAAGGAGGGAATCTCAATCTAAATTATGCTAGCGTGTGAGATGTAAGAAAAAAATGAGGATGGGAAAGAAAAAATTCAGAGGGGAGGGGAATTTCCTGGCTGCCCCTCCTCCTGTTTTTCTTCCCAAGGTCTTTGCATCTTTGATTAGCATCTTATAAAAAGGAGGTGAAGTCAGAGATGGGAAATATTCCCTTAAAAAACGGCAAGGATGATGCTTCTTACGTTGCAGAGCAAATATGATTTTCAGTGCTTACCTCGTCAGTTTGACAAGGTTGTATTTTATAGATAATTCTGCACCGATATTGTGAAGTTCACTCAGGGGGATAGGGGGGAAAAAAAGAAGAAGTTATTTAATCAAAGAAATTGCTACCTTACCTCTGCTGCAAATAAATATTCAGAATTATCACTGGCCAGGAGCAAAAGACAGCTTTTTGTATCTCTCTGCTCCCCTCTAGTGGTCAACCAAGTTTTGCAGCGATATAGCCCCTAAATCAATCCAGGTAGCAAATCTGGAAATTGTCATAATTCCCTTTCGGTAAGAGTTCCAGGGCTTTGCACACTGGGATAGCAAAGATAGCAACCTTACTCTTAAGGGGGAATTTTAGGGGCAACGTTATAGGCCATAGGATAATCGCAGCTGGCATTGTGTTGGACACAACATAGAAAATGACAGAGCACCAAGCCCAGCGACCTGCAATTTGTTTTCTAAACAGGCAGCTTAGTCTTCTGTTCTTCCCAGTGCCATCTGTTTGGCGCTTGGGAAAAGAGGAGCCGGTATAATCCTATCTCAAATTGGTTCCAACCTTCCCTTGCACACCTGTGCCGAAGTCAGATCTGTGATGGAGCTCCAGGCCGGTCAAAAATCAGTTTGTGTTTAAATGAAGACACTGCGGTGATCTCAGGAGACAGAAGCAAGGAAAGAAGCAGTTGAAGGGCTCCCAGTTGAAGGGCAACGGTCCACGTACAATTAATCCAGTTGGGTCATCTGTTATCAAACCAACCTTCCCCACCCAGACCCAGAAGAACGAGAACAAAAGGAGAGAAGGAGGGAACGTTCTAAGACAGGGGTTCCCTTCACATCATGCGGGAAAGTCTTCTTCAATGGCCAGGTTCACCGACCTAGGCGAGGGAGCAGACGTGTGAACAATCCTAGTGGCAGAAACTACCTACACCCCTGTTTTCTCTTTGATCCATGTTCGTAACTTGGTGACCCGGGTGTAGACTCCTGGCTTGTTCCGGCGAGCGCAACCATCTCCCCAGCTGACTACACCAGCCAGGAACATCCTATTGTTAACTTCCACGCTAACAAGCGGTCCTCCAGAATCTCCCTAAAAGGAAATGAGGAAGCAGTTAATGAAGAACAGAGTCTCTGGTGCTCCCTTCATACTTCAAGGAGTTTTCTAAGGAGTTGCCGGGATTTGGATCAATCCTTGTATAGGCTGGACCTTCTAGAGCAGGAGTGTCTTACCTTGCCAACCTTAAGTTTTGTGGACTTCGACTCCCAGAATTCTCAAGCCCGCATGGCTGGCTGGGGAATTCTGGGAGCTGAAGTCCACAGGTCTGAAAGTTGCCAAGGTTGGACACACCCCTGTTCTAGAGGGAGATAAACAACAGAAGAAGACGGAGCAGAGTGATGTGGGCTGAGCACAGCCTATGTTCTATGTTCAGTGGCTCCTTTGTTGCCAAGTACCTACAACAGAGGTCCCCAACCTTTTGGGCACCAGGGACCAGTTCCATGGAGGGAGGTTTTTCCACGGACCGGAGGGGGCATGGTTTTCTGTGCTGCCTGCATCCCACAGATGGGGCCTTGTGTGGACTGGTTGCTGGCATGCCGCCGCCCAGTACTGGTCCATGGACCGTGGACCCCTGATCTACAATGATGGTAAAGGACCTCCAAATGCTGCTAAACAACTCTCTGCCATCTGGATGGACTGGCTGGAGCTGCTTACTAATTGCCATTGAGCATCATTTAAAGGTACTTGAAGTTCTTCACATCTTTAGAAGAAATTGCAAATTTTCTCACCTGGCAAGCATCAACTCCTCCGGTCAGGACTCCTACGCACATCATTTGTGCAGTGAGTTGATTGGCCAGTAGGGATTCACACATGGTCTGATTGATCACCCGGATTTCTGCCTTCTGCAAAATACTGGAAGGAGGACCTGCCAAAACCCAAAAAGATTTATGTGAGATTTAGGGAAGTCACATAATCCAAATTGGCAAACTGGCATGCATTTACAACAGTTGCAGCATCACAGGATCACCATTTGGGGCCTTCTAAGTCAGCTTCTGAGAAGCAAAATCAACGAGGAAAAGCCAAAATTCGCTTAGCAACCGTAGAAAAAAGGTCATAAACATGGACACGGTTCATTTAATGACTGCACTGGAAATTCCAAATCCTAACTGTGATTGTAAGTCGAGGACCACCTGTGATAGGACTCTAGGCATTTGGAGAAACCCCAAACAAATGGGGTTTTGAACAAATGGGGTTTTCAACAAGTTTTAGAATGTTGATTTATTTTGCGTAGCCTCCGTTGATACATCTTTGGTCTTTGCTCTTTATGACTTGCTTGCATTGCAATGGATGGAAACGAACCAAGGAGAGAAGTAACCTAGAAGTAAGCAGAAATTTCCTGACGGTGAGAACAATTAATCAGTGGAACGGCTTGCCTTCAGAAGTTGTGGATGCTCCATCACTGGAGGCTTTCAAGAAGAGACTGGACAACCCTTTGTCTAAAGTGGTATAGGGTCTCTTGCTTGAGCAGAGGGCTGGACTAGAAGACCTCCAAGGTCCCTTCCAACTCTATTATTCTATGTTCTATGATCATGAATCGAGGAAGAGGCAGACAATATTTTGCAACCTGTGCCAATAGCACAGCTATGATTACTTTCCGACATTTTAATAATGATGATAATGATGATGATGATGATGATGATGATGATGATGATGATGATGATGATAATGATGATGATGATGATGATGATGATGATAATGATGATAATGATGATGATGATGATGTTGGAAGGGACCTGGGAGGTCATCTAGTCCACCCCCTGCTCAGGCAGGAAACCCTATACCATTTCAGACAAATGGCTGTCCAGTCTCTTCTTAAAGACTTCCAGTGTTGGAGCATTCACCGCTTCTGGAGGCAGGTTGTTCCACTGGTTAATTGTTCTCACTGTCAGGAAGTTTCTCCTTAGTTCTAGGTTGCTTCTCTCCTTGATTAGTTTCCATCCGTTCCTTCTCGTCCTGCCTTCAGGTGCTTTGGAGAATAGCTTGACTCCCTCTTCTTTGTGGCAGCCCCTGAGATACTGGAACACTGCTATCATGTCCCCCCTCATCCTTCTCTTCATTAGACTAGACATACCCAATTCCAGCAGCCGCCCCTTATATGTTTTAGCCTCCAGTCCCCTAATCATCTTTTGTTGCCAACCACAAAAAAAATTCAGATGGAATCCCCTGCCCATTTACTTTTGTCCAAAACAAGCTGATTTGGTGCTAAGCCCTCTAATCTTTCCCCAAGGAGACCCTCTCACCTTCCCATTTCTTGACTCACCCATTTCTTGAGTCCTTCCCCACCCGGTCACCCAGATGGCTTTTCCTGCAGGGAACTCGTGGGTGGTATCAGGCAAACAGACAGGTATGATCTCTTTGGAAAAAGTGACAGGGCTGGCCAGCTCCATCACAGCAATGTCATAGTCGAAAGAGAAGTCATTGAAGAGCGAATGGCTGATGATTTGCTTGATAGCCTTTTTCTGAACGTGGCTATTTGACCTGGCCTCCTGATTCAGAAGACCCATGAAGGCTGTCCATAGGGAGGGATCGCTGTATCTGCAGGCACAGTAATGTATCTTGGTTAGCAAGGGCGAGACTAACAAGAACGTCTATGGCTGGGGTGGGGAACCTGGGCTCTTTTATGACTTGTGGACTTCAACTCCCAGAATTCCTGAGCCAGCCATGCATGGCTGGCTCAGGAATTCTGGGAGTTGAAGTCCACAAGTCATAAAAGAGCCCAGGTTTCCCACCTCTGGTCTTTGGAGATTCTCCATCATCCAGGTCATGGTTGTCCCAAAGATGCTTTTTCACGAGGCAACTGGACTTCCTTGTTTTTTCTTTGAAGACGTTTCGCTTCTCATCCAAGAAGCTTCTTCAGATCTGACTAGATCAGGGGTAGGCAACCTTGGCTCTTTTATGACTCGTGGACTTCAACTCCCAGAATTCCTGAGCCAGCATGGCTCAGCTTGTAAACCTCTCCCTTTCCTCTCAGCATGGCTGGCTCAGGAATTCTGGGAGTTGAAGTCCACCAGTCATAAAAGAGCCAAGGTTGCCTACTCCTGGACTAGATGATCCTTCCATTCCCCACCATCCAGTCAGAACTGAAGAAGCTTCTTGGATGAGAAGCGAAATGTCTTCAAAGAAAAAACAAGAAAGACCGGATGCCTCATGAAAAAGCATCTTTGCGATGACCAGCAAGAACATTTTTCAATACTTTTGACTTAACAACCACTTGTTTACTTTGAAGTTACAACAGCACTGAAAAACCTATGACCTGTTTTCACACTTACAACTGTTGCAGCATCCCCATGGTCACGTGATCCAAACGTGGATGCTTGGCAACTGGCATGAGGACTACCTGCATAAGGTTTGAAAGCTTGGGGCTTGGCTAGTACATGGATCTTGAGATCACGAGAAATTCAGCAAGGATTGGATGATTCCTGCTTATCTTACCTTGGTGTCTGACTCTGATAAGAAAGCCAGTATTGTCTTCTGCTTTCTCATACCAACATGGGATTCCTGCCATGGGATCAGGATACTTGATCAACCATCCCATCCCAATTCCATTGACCAGCCCCCAACCCGTCAAGCAGACAGGGCATGGTGTCTATCCCATTGGTCAAAAGCAGGGCTCTCCAAACTTGGCAACTTTAAGACTTGTGGACTTCAACTCTCAGAATTCCCCAGCCAGCATGGTGGGACCTTGGGAGGGCCTTCTCAGCTGCTATCCCCACCCTATGGAACAAGGCAAGACGAGCCCCCCACTCTTTTGGTTCCTTTACTTTAAACATTCCAAAAATATTTGGAAGAAATTGGAATAGAAGTAACCCCCAATCCAGGGGCCTTCAAACTTGGCAACTTTAAGATGTGTGGACTTCAACTCCCAGAATTCCTCAGCCAGCCCTGGCTGGCTGAGGAATTCTGGGAGTTGAAGTCCACACGTCTTAAAGTTGCCAAGTTTGAAGACCCCAGCCACAATCTTTCCACATAAGGCCAAAATAAGCACCTCTGGTTAACAATGACCATTTTGCTCATCAATACTGCTTGTAACATCCCCAAACAGATCAATTTTTTTAAAAAAACTTCTGAAACATGATAAAAAATCTCTACCTACCTGATGTAGTTCTTTTCAACAAAGCAATGGGCAGCCGTGACCAGCCACTTGTTGGATATCAAGGCAGCCCCACAGACATGACCCTCGCCCTGCACATGCAGGCTGACCTGCCAGGGCCATTCGCCCAAATCCGAATCCAGTCCACCCACAATCCGGGACTGCTTGCTATACGCACGGAGGCCACAGTCTAAAAGGAACAGATTTCAGACACACACCCAAAAAAGCTTCAGTCAGTTGGTCTCTTCAGTTAAGGAAGATGCCTGGGCATCATTCAAGACTTTCAACAAGAGTTTCCCACAATCCTTTGCAGGGGAAAAATATTCCCCAATATTCTGACACCCTTTTTAACCTCATGGCAAGAACTGAACTTCATTTTCATCCATTCCTCTCTGCATTAAGGGTTGTGAAAAATATTTGCAAGATGTTGGAATGGAAGTAACCCCCAATATCTCCACATAATGGCCAAATAAGAACCTCTGGCTAACAATGATCATTATGCCCATCAACCCTGCTTGTAATGTCCCCAGACACATCAAGACTAATGCTATAATATTCATAGTCACGTAGTCTTGACCTCTAGGTAGGACAGAAAGAACAAATATGGCCATCTAGGCCAAAGTAAGTTGTTCTACTTACTCAACTAAAAACCACCAAATGCAAACCATAATAACAACAGCAGCAACAACAAGAACAACAATAATAACAACAATAATAATAATAATAGTCAATGGTTTCTAAGTTTCCAACCCTTTCACCACAAGCTAGCTTAATTTTCCAAGACTGCTACATTTGTGAATTTATTCACTTCTCAGATTATCCACTTTCTCATATCACTAGGATCAGAACTCACCGCAATTATCTTCATCTGATTTGTCGCTGCAGTCTGTCGTTCCATCACATTCTGGATTCCTTTTGCTCACACACTGATTGTTGCGGCATTTGTATGTATATGCTTGACAGGAAACGTTGGCCACTTTGAGTGAAGCAGAGAGAAAAAAAATGTAATGTCAGAAGAGGAGGACACCAGGTGATGATGGGGACCATTGTGTTTGGTCAAAGAGCCCGGTGAGCGTCACCCAACGTAAAATGGAGCCCGGAAGTATCTGAATCTTTTCCAGAGCACTGCAACACCATGGAGAACTTGGCTACTTCCTTTCTAGGAAGTAGAACACACCATTTTTCTGACTGCCCTCAGCATGTCTACTTCCCTGAGGGTAAATTTTTAAGAAAAAGTACACAATACCCTCCAGAACACACATATTTTTTGGGGGTCAGGCGGCTCATAAACCTTCCTTGAGAATTCCAAAGAAAAACACACAGCTTTCAAATACAAACTATGCCAGAATCCTATTATTAAAAGTCATTAAAAAGAATTACACAGTAGGGAATGGAAACCAAAGCTACAGAAATGACGTTAATTAAAGGTTCCATGGCGACTGAACGGAGTTCATATGAAAAGGTCTGAAAGAATAAAAAATGTGTCGGCTTGGTTTGGAAACCGGGATCAACATGGCAATGGTTTTGAGAAGCTTCAGAGAAAAAGAACAGGCAATGTTGATGTGCTAGCCTTGAAGAACTAATCAATTACAATGTCCTGGTCAAATTGAGAGTGGGCAGTTTTGAAGAGCTTAGAGGAGGGGTCTTCAAACTTGGCAACTTTAAGACTTGTGGACTTCAAGTCTTAGAGGCTTTGAGTCTTCAAACATTTTTGGAGATGATCACTTCCTATTGTTGTTGTTTTTTTGTTTTAATTAACATGTTGAAAAAAAAGTGATGACCCAATGATCAGGGTTGATGCTTTCACAAAGTTGAAGAAAGCTTATTCAATTTGTTTCCCTCTGCCAATGTCCCACTCCTGAATGATGTGGAAATTAGGGACAAACCGAGTTTGTAGGGATAACCTATTACTCCTAGGACTTCATCTTTATATGTAGAAACAGAAAAGAAGGTTAGATGAAAAAAAAAATAGCAGGTATGTTAGGGATTACAATGCCTTCTTGATCCAATTTTGAATGGGTTCAACTGTTTGAACCAGGGGCTAACTCAGGGGTAGGCAACCATGCTGGCTCAGGAATTCTGGGAGTTGGAGACCACGAGTCATAAAAGAGCCAAGGTTGCCTACCCCTGGGCTAACCGCTTCTTCATAAGGAAAGCAGCGGTATGAACACAACCTGTGGACATCAGTTACCCGCATCTCCACTGCTCCCCAAGACCTGACCACAATGGACAAGACAACATCTACCTTCACTGCTTAGAAACCACAGTTTTCCCAGCTTCCCCCTCCCTTGGTCAGACTTTAGGACTAGTCTTACAGCCTTTACCGGAGCTGCACTCCCCCTCGTCGCTGCCGTCTTTGCAGTCAGCTTTTCCGTCGCATTTCTGCTGCGCTGGGATGCAATCGCCGTTACTGCACTTGAAGCTATCAGGAGGACATTCTGAGAAGGAAGAGAGAAATTGCAAGTTTCCATTGCTAGAGAAGAAGTCATTCCCACCAGCCACTATCTGTCATGGTAGGTCTGCTTCCACACTGGAGCTGATTTTTGCAAGACTCCCTCAAAAACCCCATTACACATAAAGGGTCCCAATCATCCTACTAAGAGAAAACAGAGTTTGTCGTCAGCCCTTCAAGTTAGGTCAAGCTAGAAATCCAATGTAATGAAGGTCAGTCTTATTATTATAAAGCTGTCGTATTTATCTGGCAGGTCTGAATGCAGACCTAGTTTAATGAAGAGAAGGACGAGGGGAGACATGATAGCAGTGTTCCAATATCTCAGGGGCTGCCACAAAGAAGAGGGAGTCAAGCTATTCTCCAAGGCGCCTGAAGGCAGGACAAGAAGCAACGGGTGGAAACTAATCAAGGAGAGAAGCAACCTAGAACTAAGGAGAAACTTCCTGACAGTTAGAACAATTAACCAATGGAACAACCTGCTTCCAGAAGCTGTGAATGTTCCAACACTGGAAGTTTTTAAGAAGAGACTGGACAGCCATTTGTCTGAAATGGTGTAGGGTTCCTGCCTGAGCAGGGGGTTGGACTAGATGACCTCCAAGGTCCCTTCCAACTTTATTATTATTATTATTATTATTATTATTATTATTATTATTATTATTATTATTATTATTATTATTATTATTATTATATCCTCGCTCCTTCCCTAGAACTTTGTGAGAACCTGGGAGGGACTTGTCTGAGATGTTTCCTTAGGTTACATTTCTGTCCTGGATTATACCTTATTTTACCCGACCATTTTACTTTATTTATATAAAACATTTATATAGCTGCCCATCCTTCAGCCAATTGTGGCAGCTCCCAATCAAAAAATTAAAAGACATATAAAATCATTTTTAAAACTACAAAGCACATCCAGTTATAACGTAAAACATTAAAATAAAATAAAATAATAAAATAATGTGTTATAGCTTCCTTCCCAACTAAGGTCAAGATAAGACATTAGTTGAGCTTGGAAAATGGGGAGGAATGAGTTTAGTTTGTGAGGTTTAAAATCTAATCTTTACATTTTCATGGAGATCCAATTATCCTTGGAGTTACCATCACCATGGCAATGGTTCTTCCTTCTATCCCTCAAGGCCATTCCATCTGTCCTCCACTCTTTCCAGCTTTAAGCTTTTTAGACTGTATAAACCCAGTTCGTGGTTTAACACACTGTGCAAAACTTCAAATTGTGGTTTAGTTAAGAAACCCCGGCTGGACAACTAAGAGGTTTGAACTCCTAGTTCCCACTAAGAGCGGTCAGTTCTTCATGGTCTAAATTTCTCCATCTCATGAAAATGACTCACCGCACTGCAGTTCATCGCTGTTGTCCCCACAGTCATTCACCGTGTCACAAAGCCAGTACTTTGGCTTGCACCAATTATTATGGCATCGGAATTGATTCGCAGTGCAAGCTGAAGAAGAAAAAGAAGAAGACCATCTGCCATGTAGTTATGGAAAGGCCTCCAACTGCTTTGGACCCTGTGGGCGATGCAGCCCACTGAAAAAGTAAACAAGCCTTGTGAGCATCCTCCGGACCCCCAAACAGAGCTAAAAAGGGGGAACCTACTGCAGTTTATCTCATCACTGGCATCTTGGCAGTCAAACCACCCATCACAGCGCCTTTCTTTGCTGACACAACGGCCACTTTTGCAGGTGAATTGCCCTGGGCAAGCTATAAGTCAACAAAGAGGAGGGGGAGAGAAAACAAATAAATATATTAATAGCGTACGTAGGTGAAAGCATCAAAGTATTCTGCTGCCTCAATGTTCCAATCTTTCCTAACTGAGAAGGTGCCTCATCCCACCACCTATCTCCCTAATTAATCTCACATTTGACATCTCCACTTACGGTCATTGGAGTCAAAGGACAAATACTCTGCCGAAAAGCCACTGTCCACGTGTGACTCATCTGAGTGGAAACGAACTGTAATTTTGTTGGTTTTACTCATTACCACAAATCTCTTGCTGGGCTGACAATACCTAAAGGATCACAAGAAGATAAAAATCAACCACAGGCCATTCATTCATTCATTCATTCATTCATTCATGATGAGATGCATACATAAATACATGAAATCACTCTCTCACACACACATATGCATGCACACACACATAATACAATGACAAGGTCTTCTAATTCTTTCAGTTATGCAAAATACAAAGCTAGTCAGGTCATCACGTCAATTAAAAACCAGGATCCATGAACACTGGCTGGCAATAGAATGCCACAATCCCAAATCCTTAATCACTACCCACATCGACACCAAACAACACCAGTTCAATTGGGGCAACACTAAAATCATCGGCCACGTTACCCCCCGCCACGCTCGTGAGTGCATCAAAGCCTGGCAGTCCACAAGCAATTCCATCCATAGACACATCGACCAATAACCAGCCTACGAACCCCTCAGAATCCAAATCAACCACTCAGCCAACCAGAGACAACACCGACCCTCAACCAACCCACACAAGCCCCCACTCCCACTAGCAATTCACCTCCCAAGGACCCTGATCGGATGTAACCTCCTCATCACAAGACCCATCACAAGCCTCCCACTGATGACTCACACCTGACCCATCCCAAGACCCTCAATCGACATACCCACGCCTGAAGCCCTTATAAACAGAAAAACGCGGACATCCCCTAAACTCCGCTGAAGATGTTACCTAGCCTGGTAACGAAACGTTTGGAAACCAACCCACAAGCTCGGTGAACGAACCTTCATCCTCATCTGAGAGTGCTAGGCATTTTTTTTTAAATCAGCAAGGACCTTTCATTTATGATATTTCTATCCTAAAAGATGGCAAGGGAATGCCTTAAAGGCCCTAAGTCAGGGGTAGGCAACCTTGGCTCTTTTATGACTCGTGGACTTCAACTCCCAGAATTCCTGAGCCAGCATGGCTCAGCTTGGAAACCTCTCCTTTTCCCCTCAGCATGGCTGGCTCAGGAATTCTGGGAGTTGAAGTCCACGAGTCATAAAAGAGCCAAGGTTGCCTACCCCTGCCCTAAGTGGATAAGACAGTTTTCTCTCTTGCCCAGTCGCAACAGCTACACAAGAACTGGTAATACGGGTTTACAAATGCCTGGCTCTTACCTGACACCGTTGATTTCCACATAATCTTTGGGGCAGGAGTTGGATGAGTCACCAGGATCCTCAAGGTAGAATTCATTGAAGCGTATCTTCACATTTTTGTTCTTAGGCACCTGAGAATGAGATTTAAAGTTGGCAGGGGTGGGCAGAGGAAAGAAGGAATAAACATTGATCTCACTCCCAAGCTAGTTGCCTTTTCCAACATTTTCTTAAAATACAACTAGGAACATTTTAAATAGCCCTGTTGCCTAACAGAACATACGAAGAAATCTAGCAATCTGGATCACCCTGGATCACCCTTTTCATCATAAAGTACAAACATGTGAAATCTAAAAATAGAACTTGAGCTGATTGATATTTCTGTTGGAGAAGAGGAATACCTAATTCATGCAATCATTATGCCACAGAGTCACTGTAGGACAATGATTTAGGCGTTGGACAAGATAGTGGTCAACTCATTGCATGACTGTGAACTGGTCACTACATTGCTTCAAGGTACAATAACAAATTAGAAGATACCATCATCTGAACTATATTAATCTTCAAAAGGAAGAGTGGGTTATAGATGCAGTAAATAAATACAGAGGTTGAATGTGGATTCACACACAGAGAACTTAGTTAGGATCACCTGCTGCATTAAATCATGGTTTGGTTTAGCCATGTTTGCTGAATAAGCCAGTTGGGATCAGTTCACACGTCATATTAAATCCAAACCCAATGAACCACATTATGGATTAGTGCACCGTGAGTGGTTCCCTTGCTTCACTATCAGGAATTCTTTTAAAAAGCCACATAAAATCAACTTGAGGGTTAGAGATGCACTTATTAAAATAGTAACCATAAGAAAGAAAGCTTTGGCTCTCTGCCCCACCCCCCATGGTTGAGTTGACATGATTTTGTCTTTTCAGACGCTTAAGAATAGATCACAGAGAAGCTCTTTTAACTCTTAACACCTTGATAGTTAGCCAGATCTGCCGGTTAGAAGCGCTCTCCCCTAGTCCAGTGGTGGCGAACCTATGGCATGTGTAACAGAGGCGGCATTCAGAGCCCTCTCTGTGGGCACATGCGCCATGCCCCAGAGATGGTAACTGTCCCTCTTTAACCAGCCGCCCGTTAACTTGCTGAGGTCCCACGTGGCCGGATGCATCCCAGCACGGCTGGTTTCCCTCCCCCCCTGCCCCATCCATCCTGGTCTCGCATGCTCTCCTTTTCCCAGGCATGACCCACTGCATCACCTCCTCAGCTGTTGGCTGGCCATCCAGCTCAGAGGCAGCTTCTCTGAACTGCTGGCGGCAGGCTGTGGAGCCCCAGAGTGCGCCGGTCGAGGAGCCAGCAGGCTGTGGCTGCTGACGGACACTGTCAGCCCCCATGCGCTCGCTGGCCTCTGTGTGCGGGGGCTGATGGTGTGAGACAGCAGCCGCCCCGGCCCCTGCCTCGCCTTGCCCTGTGACAATGGCACCCCCACCCTGCCTCGCCTCACCTCGCCTCACCCCACAGGACGAGCCTCCTGCCCACCGCCCCACCTACCAGAGACCCCCTAGATCTCCCCCAACCCTGCCTGGCCCCCACAGGCATCCCTCCCCATGAGCAACATCAAGGTGACCATGCCCACCTTGGCTACACCCACCCAGTCTGCCATGACCACGCCCACCCAGTGGGCCACCCCCACCTGGCACCCAGCGATAAATAAGTGGGTTTTGAGTTGCAGTTTGGGCACTCGGTCTCTAAAAGGTTCGCCATCACTGCCCTAGTCTATGCTGTACGCCCCAAAAGAAAAACAGAATTCGTACTTTGAAATTCTTACCTCTATATTCCATACACAATCCAAATCTGGAGGGTAGTGGGCTGGATAATAAGGAGTGGTGAAGTTTCCTGAGATGCCCCTCAAAACTCCACCGCAAGCTACAATTGGGGGGGGGAAACAAAATCTTATGAACCTTGTTTGTGGCTGGAAAAGAGGCATTTGTGCAGAACAGCCATTATTAATAAGAGGATGTCAACCGTTAACGGCCTGATTCAAAAGCATGGATATAACCCAGGAGACCAATTATGGTTACCTGTACACACCTGTCCATCAGCTCAATCCCATGCAATTTCAGCTCACTTCTCATTAGGAAGCATCATTAGAGTATCCGGAAGTGTGTATGGGGGGGAGTAGGGTGTTATTTATCACAACAACTCCTGAGTGAGGGGAAAAACCGGGCCCATGGTGCCTTATTATCCTCAAGACTTTCTCCCTCTCTAGCCTACTCATTTTTCACTCATCTTTATCTTCTACACTAGACTGAATCATTTACTTAATTAGGAGTGGACATTTTTTTTTCTGCTCGAATAACTTATTAATGAGTACAATGATGGGGAATGTCTGCTATTTCTTGAAGGAAATGTGGCTAAAGTGTAGCCAGGGTCAAAAGTGGCTAAGGTCATCCTTTTTTCTTGGACTTCTGGCCTCTACCTTTCTCATGTCTTCTTCCCTTTCTCTTAAGGAGAAAACTGTCAGAAAAAAGGAGTGATACGGTAGTACTGAATTCATTGTCAGGCCACACATCCCGCCAACCCATGAGCTTCTTTTTATCACCCCAAAATAGAAAGAATGACTTTTTCTTACATGTCATCTTTGGCATCTGGAAGAATTCTGCTTTGAACCCAGGATATCTTCCTTTTGCATCTGTACTTAGCATCACCAGGAGGACGTTTTGAGAGGAGATGAAAGTTAGGTTGTATGAAAAGTCAAAGCTCCCACATAACCTGTAAGAAAGGGAGGGAGAAGGGAGAAGGGAGGGAGGGAGAAGAGAGAAGGGAGAAGAGAGAAGGGAGAAAGGAGAAAGGAGAAGGGAGGGCGGGAGGGAGAA